CATTTTGGCGATGAGCGCCTCTCGAGCACCGCCAGGTCAAATTGGCCACACCCACCCACCCTGGGTTCGCCCGGGGTGGACAGGCCACTTGTGCGGGCGCAAGGGAGTTCGCAGTCGCGGTTTCAAAGAGACCACTTTCTGATCAGTTGTGAGGTCCGTAAGGGACTGGTGGTGCGAAATTACCAGTTCTGTTTTCTTCAGGGTTGTGATCAGATGCTCGCTCGCGAAGAGCCTGCTCGTGAAGAGTGGTGACCTATCGGTTTGAGCATGATCCCCCCATAAGGTCCTCACATCTGTTTTCTCACCTACTCGATGAACCCAAGTTCAACGACCCCATGCCAGTAGAACTTGGAAAAGGGCCTGCGCCTTTGACATGTGCTCATGAGCTGAACAAGCGAATTTATGATGCGGTCGTCAACCCCGGAAGTGCTACTAATACTACCTACTGCTACTGCTACTGCTACTGCTACTGCTACTAATACTACTACTGCTTCTACTACTACTGCTACTACTACTCATACTGATACTGCTACTGCCCCTGCTACAGCAACTGCTACAACAGTCGTTATTGTAGTTCTTGCTTCTAAATATATCGGTTCTCGCTTTTTCCCCGAAATTGACTAAAGACTTTATTCATGGCTGCAGTTTCAGGATAGGATTAGGTAGATAATTTGTTACAAGGTGCACAATTACTTGTTAAACTTGGAAAAGTGTTTTTAAAGCATGGCAAGCTTAGGTAAGTTCATGTTTATATCTATTATGCCAGTGGGAATGCCATTGGATGGTCAAACAAAAAATAGTTATAAAATTGTCAATTTTCAAGTAGTATGATAAAACATGTATTGATATTATAAGCTATTTTGAGATTGGATATACCACAATCCTTTCGTCGCACTTGCACCACTCGCGGGTATTTTTGCCACGTGGGTTTGCGATCCAACAGCACTTTTCGCCGGAGGAGCGGCTGCGCATGAAGACGGGCAAGTCCAGACGCGCCATACTCACAGAGGCGCGACCGGGCCATCGGGCGAGGGCGCGGAAAACCGTGTCAGGGAGTTGCAAAAGAAATGTCCGGACCCAAGGTGTGGAGGAGAAAGGTCGCTGGAAGTTGTTTGAGCTAGATCCGGGAGCAGAACTGGGAGCCAAGTGGTTGAGCTAGACAGCTGGGTGTGAGGGCGTTCGTCTACAGCTGTTGCTTGGGATATGTTGGCATTTGAAGATTTGGCCAGCGTCCTTGAATTCCATATGATACCCCGAGCATTTGGGAGCCAGGGCGCAGCAAAACCATAGCAACACTGTGTTTTTACGACTTTCTATGGCAATTCTGAATTTGAAGTGCCCCCCTAAGGAGGTCATCTCTGACTTGCTCAGCCATTGGAGCTGAGTGCCAGCTGTCCCAGTGTTCCATCACGACTGTCGCAGCCGGTCACTCGATCATCCACCATTTGGGCCAGTTGTGAATGGGGAGATGCATAGACGCTCGGTAGACTGGGTATAGTTACACTGGTCATCACTGGTCTATGTTCCCTTCTTTCACACAAAGTCGAACTGACTATTTAGCAGTTTTCTGTTTTGAAGCATGTATATAACATGTTTTAACACTGGAGGATCAGGTGTGGCCCCCCCTTCGTTTTCCTCCCAGGAGGAGCTGCAAAAAGCCACCGTGGAGTTGCGCATCCGCCGACGCCCCCACCCCGTTCTCGCCCAGGCGCGGTGGACGCGTTTTCTCGGAAGCGAAGCGAAGCGAAGCGTACTTAGGGACGCAACGAGTGGACCAGTGAGGTTCTGTTTTTTTCCTTCCACCCTTTTGGGTGATGATGTGTCATGATGTGTTTTTTATTGATTTTTTTCAATGACAAAATAGATACATGATAATGTATAATATATGTATATATTTATAGATACTTTTTTGGGTGATGTTCAATAGTGATGTTCAATACTTCCACACATGCAGCCTCTGGTGAACATCATCCAGTGGTTTTCACCTTCCATGCTCCTTCCCTTTTTCCCGCTACCGGGACGGTTCCCGCTACCACACCTCGTGCTGCACGGGTCGGACGGGTTTCTGGAGACTCAGTGTGCCCATGTTCACCGGTTTGTCTCGTGGTTTGAGAGTGACTTGTTTGTGTGTGACTTGGAACCTGGGGTTGGATGAGTTAGATGTGACTTGTATGTGACTTGGGGTTCTTTCCCCACCCCAAAAAAGGTCAAGTTGTGGGGCAATCCAAAACCCAGCGTGTAAGCCGTTGCTGGGTGTTTCCCGGGCTCACGCACTTGCCAAGTTTGCCTCCCAAACTCTACACTGTTAGGGCGCTCCCCCCAAAAAAGCCACGTCAACACATCTCAAACATCTCCCGTTTCGCCTTGTGGTTTGGCACTGCGCTTCGCGCCGTGCAGTGCCTGGAAGTGATGTTGGAAGAGGCGAAGAAGGGACGTGGTGCTGGGATGGTTCCTGCCGCTCGCTTGAACGTCCAACGTCCGTGATGGGGCGTGGTTCGCGAAATGCAGGGCTTGGGGAGCCTTGTTTCGATGCGCTGGAGATGTTGCAAAGATATGCACAGCCAGTGGAGGTAATCCTCCGGCAAAGCTAGTGGACCGAAGTTTTAAGACATATATAGACCCTACAAGTCAGCTTGACCTCATTTTACTGGATATGGCTATACAAAACCAATACTGAAGGAGGTAACAGACCAGGTTTTACTGGGTCTTTGGACTTGTAGGGATATAAATATATATATATACATTATAAAGAATACATAAATACGATGTGGTTAAGGGCTATGTGGTGAAGTGTATGGTTTGGTATGATTTGACGTGTTGTTCTGTGAGGAAAGTGAAGTGAAGTCAAGAGAGTGAGGTAATGACTCTTTGGAGAATCTCTACTTTGGGATACATGGATACATTTTGTTGATGAACAGTTTTGGCATTGATCTTAGGGATTGGTGAGGAGCCAAGAGAACATACTACCCAACCAGAGTTTGGGGAGCAATAGGCCTAGTCGGCCTAGTGTATAGCTCCAGTGACATGAACCAAGGTATCAAGCCTCTTGGGGTCATTGAACCTCAAAATCTGAAAGGGAGACATGCTTTGGCATTGCTCAGTCCTTCCAACATCTTCGGACCAGGTGTCCCAGGAAACAAGCCCTGGCCGCCATGGCCCAAGCCGGCTCAACTTGCTGAGGTGCCCTTGTTGGAGGAAGCGTTTCAGGCGCGAAAACGCGGGGCTCGGTGCATTGACCGGTGGCATGAGTGGAACCCCGCAGGAACCACTCCCTCAAACCGGTGACGTGGGAGTTGGCCGCGTTGGGTCCCGGGAGGACCATGTTGGTCGACCAAAACAGGCGGTGCCATCCACGTGCCATCCATGTTCAGGGAGTGTCGTTTGTGGAACTGGTGAGAATGAAATGCACTACCCCTCATGGTCCAACAACTCAGGTGCTTGATAAACATTCAGAGACCTTGTTTGATGAACTTGAGTAAGGGCTTACACAATCTTACACACAGATATTGTCAGTTTTAGTATACACCCATGCTAAACATCAACACTAGTGAACTTGCGAAAGATTGCGGAAGCAAAGGGTGGATCTCAAAGACCATCAAAGACCTACAGACCTTGTTGTTCACATGAGCAAGTGGGGGGAGAGTGTATTTGCTACTTGCCAATTGTTTCTGTTTCGGAACCCTGTAACACTCACAACGTTAAGAAGAGGCGGTATATGAACAATATGCATTTTGGACCCAACCCATATACTAAGTATATATACATTATCTATGTGTCAGGTAGACCTGTAGGGCTCGAAAACTCAGGCACGAACACTTGATCCTTCATATATGTCATATGGGGTTCCTTTATACCAGACTTTCTCTCTTTTAAACGCGTATCATTCTTGTGGATGAGATTTGTACAACAAAAGGGGGTCATCAATGGAACGCATGAATCCCCCAGCCCACTACTATCCAGGTGTGTTTGTCCTTTTCTTGGCTTTTTTTTTCTTTTTCGGACGACCGGTCGACCGACATGGCGCATGGCCGTCGCTTCGCTCCCTCGCCTTCTCTTCCTCGGTCGTTTCCAGGGCATCGACGTGACCTTGCGAAATCACATCACCACGCGAGAGCTCCTGGCAGTGCCGCGGTCGGAACGCGCCAACTTCGCTCGCTCGCGTCGCGGGCGGGGCCGGGCGAATGGGCGGGGCCGGGCGAATGAACGCGCGAGCGAACGGGACGGACTTCGGCGTGACGTGACGGACCGTCGTGTTTTCGAGCTCCGTCGAGAAGGCGGTTTTTCCTTGGGTCCGTTCGTTGGTTTGCGCGAAGAGTGGACTTTGTTGGAACTGTTGTTTGCATTTTGGGGAAATGGAATGGAATTTGTTTGGGTTTGGAGATTCAGACATAGCCTGCATAGGTGGTTAAGCTCCAAGACACTTGCGGGGTTGGACTTTCAAATGTCTCATCAGAACTGATATCAGCAGACACTCTGGAAGAAGCAGGCTTGAATCGTCGAACGGGCGGTTTCATGCCGGAGATGTGGGAATTTGATGCCCCAAAGCCTTGATTCCTTCTGATCCCCATGCTGATGGATTCTTGGTCGATTTATGAGGGCAGATCTGATCCTAGCAATCACAGAAAAGGCAAATCCAAGTTTGTATGTAGCTTGGCCGGAAAAGATGTGATCAATTGTGAGTTCGTCAGTTTTTGTGTTGTTCTTTGATGAGAACCCAAGATTTCATACTGGCCCTGCGATAAATCATGATCAATCAACATATCGTGTTCCTGTCATGGAACGACCTCCAAAATGCAAAAAGCAATATCTGGAATATGATTGCCTATACATCTATTAGAAGAGGCGTGCAGTTCATAGATTCATTGCACTACCTCACATGGCTAGAAAATTGACCGCCATCAGTCCTTCACATCAACTGCATTAAAATTATTGCAGCACCTTCTAGCACATCACCATCGTCGGTTGAGGCTTTATCATTACACGCTCACTCTCACTCACATGGAAGTGGATAGTATGGCTCCTTGGAAAACAACACTCCCTTACAAACAGATGGTAACTCTCCATCTTCCCCCCTCACACACTCGATGTATGCCATATATACCTACATTATCCTACATTGGGGGTGGTTGACACGGGGTCACTGTAGGCATACAAATGCATACATAATCATAAATATATATATATATATAATAAAGCATAAATACAATAGAACTAGTTTAATATTAAATATATTATGTACCAGGAGTCGCAAAGGGGTGGTGTTTAGTCCTTAAGTGAGTGGATAATGGGCACCCCTAACCTCCATTAAGCACCCCTTTGTGACTGCTGGTATATGTATAATATTAACAATATTGCATGTATTTTAATTCCATACATGGAGTGTTTGGAGGAACCGGGACGGGTCGAGGCCCTGCGCGTTTGTGGGATCTTCGTGGAAAGCCCAGCTGCAGAGCTCTTGTTGCACTGGCTCCACAAGCAGGAGCAGCAGGCGACCAGCGACTAGCGCGACGCGGTACGTCGCCACCCACCTGCCGTGGGGCAGAAACACACACACACACACACATATATATATATATATGTAGAGGACCGACCTGGGAAAAGGGGAACCAAGTCCAGTGTCGAATCGTTTTTCCTGGCTTTTTGCGTTTGGCCTGCCAGAGGCTGAGTGTTCGTGGCTTTCGTTAGGTCCTTGCAGATGTCCGCTGACTCTGCGGGAGTCCAAAAGTGTGCGCTCAAAAAGTTGTTAGAAGGTGGTTTGACCCCCCTGGCAGGTACCCCAGTCCCACCGAAACGAAACGGAGGTAGGCCAGGAGCCCAAACGGGAGTCTCAGTCACGAAGCCGCAGAAGTCCGCAGAAGTCCGCGCGTGCCACGTGGTCGCTGCTAGGCACCGGGTCTAGGCGGTGGCGATCCACAGAATCTGGGCATCATTGACTCTCGATCTGCGAAATCCTCGCGCATCTGGTTGGTCTTGATTTCCACCTGAAAACACCTTAACCAAGGGAAAATCATTGGATCATTCATCACTGTCAATAAGAATTCGTACTGGATCATTCATAACTGGTCGTGAGTTCTATTTCCTGGATACATTCTATATATGGGTCTTTTTGCTGGCCTGTGTTCGGCAACGTGCTTGAGATCCAACTGTAGCTTTAAGTGGCAGCAGGGGACTGGACGCAACCTCCGGCTTCACGCTCTTTCGTGAAGCTACCCAGGGTCATTAGCCGTTCAACGCGCAGCATCTTGGAAGAAACTTTAGCTAGTTCCTCCTGTGTGCAGGCGGGATAGAACCCTTTAAGCTTGTGTGCCTGTATTTGTTTAAAGTTCTTTTTGTTGCTGTTTCTTGAGCAGTGATCAGTGATCAATGTAAATGTATTCAATTCCTTACTGTATGTGTTGATTCTTGAATGGAGAATGGTCACTACTACAGCAGGTAACCAGTCATATTGTATTGGAACAGCGGGAACCAAGCCAATGGCATCAATATTTCTATAGTATATGTTTACTTATAAGGGGGTCTTTATATAGGGTCTATCTCCTTTTTTGTGTGTTGGCACACCTCCTACGAGTTTGTCTTTGGAGCCGCTTTTTGGCTATGAGAAAGCAAAGAAGTGGCGAGCAAACCTGAGGACAACACTTGCTGGCGCCATCTCATCCGGCAAGCTTTTGCCGTGTCGTAGCGTCTTAGGGCAGCAAAGCGTCTTGGGGCAGCGAGCTGTGCTCACCGCTGAGGATTTGCCCAAGTTCATCAATCTCTTCAACCAGGTCACTGATATGTTGGCCAAGGACTGGTGAAAGCGTGGATGGTGCACCTGCGAAGTTGGGACGTTTCTGGATGAATCTTTAATGTGATCCTTTTTCCAAGTATAGAGAACTGACTTGGCATGCTGACAAACCGAAAACCTTGGAGGTACAGACACGGACACTTCTTCAAAAGCTTGCCCCATACCCGGCCCGAGGGTCATAACTCCAGTTCAACTGGTGGGGCATGCCTCGGGACTGTCAGCATTATGGAGAATTGTGTTCAACAATGATTCAATACTGGTAGCATATCAATGGTTCTCTTGCCATCATCCTTCACAGATGTCCAGGAATTCACCAATCCAAACTTTAGGATGCACCCGGGCCATGACCCCCATGGTTGTTTGAAGTCTAGAGGCCCAATAGAGTTGTTGTGTTTTGTTATTCTTTATACGTCGTCCCATGACCTGTAACTGTTGGCTACACAACTATCACTGTAGGGAAAAGGCCTGCCACTTGAAGCATCATGCACTGGGCCCCGGGAACAGGACGTACCCAACCTTTAGTGATCTTTAAGAAGAGAAGCTCGCTCGGTCCGTCTTGTTGGACCTCGACACGTCACTTGGAATCCAAGACGTCCCGAAAGCATGTCTGACCTTGAGGGAATTCGACCCGCAGCTTTTGGAGAGGAGTTTATGTTCAAGAAGGCCTCCAGAGGGCAACTGGTCCTGACTTGGCAGGTACTGCCAGTTGTTGAAGTCGAGACGTGTTTTTTTCAAATAGCAGATAGAAGGTGATGAGCAAACCAGGAAGTCGATACACTATAGCGTTTCCTTGCAGGATAGAGTGTGTTGGAAGATGTTTTCTAAATGCATGGTTTTATTCAATGGGCTTGTTTTACTCAGCGTTCACAGTGTTTTGATTGCACAAGACCTACCGCAAGGAAGTTGGCAGGCAACCCATAGGTTGTTTCTAGAGGTTTCTATAGGCAGCCCATAGGTTCCCCTTCAACGAGTAGAAGATTGAATCGCAATGGAATGGTGTAGGTTTAGAAACAATCTAGGCTAGGAGAAAAAGTGCTTGTTTCGAAGCGGTGTGCCATGGGGATTGGGAGAGGAATACACACAAGAATGCATAGATATTTTTGACGTTTAAAGAACAGTTCCATGCTGTTTGCACTCCAGGTAGAAACTTAAAGCTGGTACCAACATGTGGGTCAGAATCGGGGTGCCATGTGGATTGGATCACGGCAACCCATAGATAACATTTGAACACATCAACATGTAGAAGGTTGAATCGCAAGGGAATAGTGTAGGTTTAGAAACAATCTAGGAGAAAAAGTGCTTGTTTCGAAGCGGTGTGCCATTTTGTCCAAATGGGGTAAGTTCTTACATTCGTGGGTAAGCGGTGTGCCATGGGGGTGGGTCAAGTTCATGTGCGATGGGGTAAGTTACCACGTCGGGTAGCTCTCCAAATTGCGTTGCCATTGGGATTTGCAGTTGAAGTTTTCTCTTTTTGGAAAGGTGAATCTGGAGAACCTTGTTCTGTATGTAGCGTTTACAATGGGGAAGGCCAGCAGTCTTGACTTAAGTACTGACTTTTGCAGATCGGCGTTCCATGGTGGTTTAGTATCCCACATGAAAAATGTATCAACTTCAACGGGCACCAGTAGTGGTCGTGTTTAGACTTCTCGCAATTCGACACAGATGAGAATGATGAGATTGCGGTAGCTCGCAAGACACGCCTAGATCATCTCGATGCCAGAACTAATGAACCTACACTTCTGGCCAAATCATCTCGAGACCACACTTTAATTTAGGAGAAGCAATAGCCATCGAGAGGTGGTTGTCCAGATCCACCTCTTCCAGGGGCCCCATCGCCTGAAAACTTGGGATGGTGAAGAAAAACATGTTTGAGTTGGCGTGCCATCTAGGTAGCCAACCTTTTCTTGTGCGATTGGTGATGCGCAATTTGTTTTGAAAATCAACCATCCTTGTTTCATCCACACTTGTTACCTGCCTGTGCGTCCACGGCCGGTGGGGCACACTCCGCAAGAGTCCTTGCGCATCATCAGTCACTCTCCCAAGCTAGACACCAAAGCTGGGGTTCTCCTAGGTCCTCTTCATGACCTTGATTATTTGTATTTCAACATGTTCAACAAATGTGCCCAGACACTCCACGTATGGAATATGTATCTACATTGACCATATTGACGCCTTTTCAACCACACGAATGTCGGTAAATTACATGGGAGTGTTTGGGATTTGCATGTTTTCCATCAGTGACCCTTTCTTGCTTTTCGTCATGGCATTCCTCTTCGTCGCTGGGTGCGCTGGCTTGATTACTGCACACCGTGCATGTGAGCGGACTGTCAGTAGCCGTTGTCGGACATGGATTCTGCTAGAGAATCTCATTGGCATTGACCTTGGGGAGAAAGAAGAACAGCTGGCGAAACAGAGAATCTGAGGTATCAGCTCACTTGCCGCCTAGCTTTTCTCATGAACCTCTCCTTTCTTTGCACCTTGGCCGGCTTGGGAGCGGGGGCCAAGTGCGAAAGTGATGCTTACCCTCCCTCCAACCAACATGGTTTCGCCGTGTTCACCGCCAAATGGTCTTTCCGGGCACCATGCATTCCCTCCGTCACCATGATGGGAGGGGAGGGGAGGGGAACAGAAAGCGGATGAGCTACGCTTCATGAAAGTTCTCGAACAGGCTCTGAACAGTTCAGCCCTTGCATCACACTCACACAGGTCATGCCGCCCAACAGCGACCGGGTTGGGCTTGTGGAGCCATTCACCGAATCTCCACAGCCCAGCAGAGGGCCACTTGCCTCCCAACGGTACCTATGAGGTCGTGGTGCCGTCGGGGCAGTGGAAAAACCCACATGGGGCTTAGGTGATGCAGGTCGTTTCCCTCGTCGTTTCCGTCGTTTTCCCTCCGGTCTCACATTGAAGATCTGGGTCGTTGGCCGGGATCCACAGGCGGCTTCGAGACATCGCGCAGGACATCGCTCAGTTACGATGCAGAATAGGTCCGCATTCCGTACCAGTTCGCATCTGCTTAACTTGCTTCCGTGAAAAGACCGGGTGAGCGACATGGGGTTCTGAGGTGCTTGCTGTTTCATGATTTTCATGTTTCTCCGGTTCCTGCACAGCAAGTGCCTAGACATGTAGAAAGCAGATGTAGGTGTGAAGAAACTGGAGACCCTTAGAAGGCTCCAGTGAAGTGCATCCTGCAGACTCAGGTCAAGTTTTTGTTGGTCTTGCTCAAGACTGACTGGTGATCCACACATGGATGAACGCTGAAGAAACCGTGCCTCCCTTGAAACAAAGGTGGACCCGCTCGCCGTCGCTTGCCTAAGGCGTGGTGTTGTTCTCCGTCACGCGGCCAGATGCAGATGAGTCCTGGCAGAGCTTGTTGAACGTGTTCGGCACACTCTTCGCTCTGCAGCTCCTCGGTGATGGAAATGGGCCAGTCGGGCTAAATGGAAGGCAGTCGGGCTTAAGAAGCAGAAATTACTACCCCTACAAGTCCAAAGAGCCAGTATAACCTGGTCTTTTACCTCCTTAATTAAGTATTGGTTTTGTATGACCATATCCAGTAAAATGCGGTCTTTGACTTGTAGGGTATATATGGATGTGTGGCGAGTGGCGGGAAGTAGTTTGGAGGTGATGGATGGTGGATGTTGAAAAAGCGAGCTGTAACAGGTGTTTCGGGGGCCTGTCCGTCCTTGCAGGTCAAAAACCATTCATTTTTAACTGTAACATACTTTAATTGTTACCTACTTGCCCGGCGGTTGGTTAGCTAAGCTGAGCTAAGTCTAGCTTGGACTTATAAGTACTTAGTAAGTACTTAGCTTTGTTAACTATTTTGCAGTCACTGCGGAGGTTCTACAAGATGTTGAACTTAAAAAGTCCCCAAGACGTGTCGTTCTGGATGCCGCATGTTGCCACACGTTTTGGACCCAGAAAGTAGCCAGTCACGGAGATTGTTCATGCTCAGTGCCCACGCCCCCCCACTGTTTCACAGAGTATGCAACACGGCACGGAAATAAAGTCAACACAACCCCCTTCCCCTATAGGCCTCCAGTCGTACCTTCGTTTCGAAGGTGGGACTGGGGTCCCGGGTGCCAGGAGGGTCCAAACACCTTCCCTAGGGATCCAGTCGTACCTTCTCAGAAGGTGATTGGAGACACTCTTATGTAACTTATGTAGGTTTGGAGGGTCCAATCACCTTCTGAGGTTCGGTACGACTGGATCCCTAGGGCTTCTGAGGCGGTTGATGCTATTACTGACGGGGCACTGTGAACGACGGGGCACGGTGAAGGACTTGGATGTCTCAGACCACGTGACCGAAAACTGTTCATTTGTGCACCCCCACTGAAGGTCCAGGTTTTCGGATGGTTGAGGTCTGTCCCAGTACCACTAAGAATGGATAAAATCTTGTAAAACCATGATCACTTTTGGGTGGAAGGGCCCTTATTGTTAACAATCATCATCCTCTGGCAATGGGATAATATGATCAGTTCAGGTTCTCTTGGATTTCTTTGCCCTTGGGCCTGGGCACCCATCTTTTCACAGACCCCGACCCTTTGTTGTCAGGTTCTCCGCCGTCATTGCAGTGCCGATGTGGCGTGGCAAGCAGATTGAGCGCTGTTTACCACGTGGATTCGGGAAGGAGCTTTGATGCCATCAGCCACAGATTTGATGACGCCTAGGGCTTAGGGCTCCAAGGACCTGGGGTTTGGGTCCGTATGGGGTGAGTGGCAGTGAGTGGTCTAACTACCTGAGGATGTGCTTTGAGCACGTTGGAGCTCTAAGACATTTGTCAGAAATATGGGCTGATTCTGAAGGAAGGGAACCAAGCAGACTCCACCATTCGATGGTGTCGAATGGCCACATTGAGTAGAAAGGCTTGCGCAAGCTGCTCAATGATACGTTGGAAAATGGACATCCTCCAATTGAACAAGTTCCAAACATGAACACAGCAGAATCGAAACTCTGCACTCTTCAGCATCTCGCATCTCGATAACCACGCTTGGTACGCTTCTATTCTATGCTGGGCACGGACTGCACCCCCCAGTCATGACAAGGATCGACTGCACCCCACTGGAGCCCGTTCCACACCTGACTGGCATAGATTAGATGCCTACATTGACCCCAGGCCAACCACCTCAATATGTATGTACGCGCACCTCTCGGACAAGTCGCCGACACGAAGGGCTCGGCAAAGCAGAGCCGCCTCGCTCTAAGAAGCTTCAGCCCCATCTTAGGGCCAATGCCTAGCGAACTCCTGCGAAGACCGCAGGGGTCTGGCCTGGAAGAACTCCCCCAACTTCGCCAAGGTGACTGACACCAAAGACGTGGGCCAAGGTATCACACGAGCATCCAAGGACAGATGAAGATGAAACTGAGGATAGCTGACACTAGCACCATCAAAAACAAAACCCAAAGCAACAGACAAAGAATCAAAGAGATACCTGAAAACCTTCACCTGTGATACCAAGGTACGTTGAAGGAGCCCACCAGCCCTCCTACTAAAAGGATCTTGCCACCGTAAGTTGTTTCGAGTACCAACCTGAACCGGCAAAACAACATCAAACTCACTCGAAAAAGCAACAAACATCTCGAGATACGAAACTGGGGCAAGATGCGTGGCCGCAGTATCTAGCCGTGAGAGCCAAGTAGCCAGTTTCAAGGCTATGGGAAGGCCAAAATCACGGAGTTTCACTGATTGGGAGATCAGGGAAGCTAAATCTAGGGGCAGCTCATCAAAAAGGTCACGTGGGTTCTGAGAACACCAGTTAAACAAATTCAACGCCGAGTCATCATCATGCATACTCTCAGTAGTAGAAGTACTCATGGACCTTTGAGCCAGCGAAAGCAGAAAGGCTTGGTAGCGGAGCGCCCAGTGCCTGTGCCACTCATAGGTCCTAATCAGTCTCTCATGAACTTGACGCAAGCGAGCGCAGCCTGCCGTGCGTCTGGCAGTTTTGGCAGAAAGATCTGCAACACTATTCCAGTGCGCCTGCCAGGCCGAATTGGCATCCGTCAGAAGCGTCTGGTCCAGGTGAGCTTCTGTTTTGTACAGCCGAACCGTGTTCTCGTGGACTAGCATTGCCTGCCAGAGCAACTCCCAAAGATCTGAGTTGGTGCAGTCAAAGGAAACATGTCGAGTGCGCAACAGAGCATCCCAGCCGCGTACAGCATAGCTAGAGTCAGTGAAGATGTCCACGTCACAGAAAAAGTGCTTGCTCCAAAGAACTGCCACGTAAACAGCAAAAAGTTCAGCTCTGTTGTTATGCTGTCTCAGTCCAGGAAGAAGTCCTGAGGCTAGAGTTTGCCCACTATCTTCGTGGACGCAAGCCCATGCAGCCAAGGCACAACACGGTACCTTAGGATGTGAGCAGCTTCCGTCAGTGAAGATGCGCTGAGTCCCAATTCCACAGGGACTGCTGTGCCACTCTGTGGGCTCCCATGGAATTTGCAGCAACAAAGAATGAAAATCATCAATCCAAGGATTTGCGCCCGCTAGTCCGTGATGCGTGAGCGCTGAGGGAAAACAGTGCCAACAGGCAACACAGTCCTCAAAATCTCTTCGGGCAGTTTCGAAGTGCGGACAAGTTAGGGCTCGATGAGCCAGCGTGTCCTCCTGTCCGCAAAAATCACACAAACAGGTCCTACTCGGATCAAATTTGGATTTGAAGGTGTTCAAAAACATGGTGCCATCTTGGGCGCACGAAAGCAAAGCTTGCTCAGCATGAGAAAGTGTGTTTCGGGCACCAAAAGTTGCTGCATGATCAATGCCCTCAAGGTCACTGAAGTCCTTCCTGAGGCGCACCGAGCGCGCAATCACTTGAAACCACGCCTCAGTGACCAAATGCTTGAGAGTGGCACGGTCAAGGCTCAAAAACGGCACCTGGCATCCGTCAGAGATGCGCAAGACCAAATCATGACTCAAGCTCCATCCCAAAGTGCTACTGAGTGCAAAAATCTTGGCAAAAGGACCATATGTGCCCTTAGATCCAGCATACTCAACAAATGTTACCCAGGCTTTCCTGATGAAAGTACTTTTGTGAAGCTGCCGCTGAAAAGAGCTCCAGGCGTTCCAGCATTCAACAAAACCCGGGTCCGTGTTCACCGGACATATCCAAGCTAGTCGGATCAATGGCGAGGCTCCTGGACGTGCAAAGCCGAGAGACCTCATGGTCCAGGTTCGCAATTTGGTGATCCAGTGATGTCCCAAAATGGCTGCATCAGCTCCAAAAAGTGCACGTGGAAAAAGAGCAACGTGTAAAATCTGAAGTTTGTGCCATATGGAAACATTGGATCTGCGCAGCTTCTCAAAAAAGACCTTAGTGGAAAGAATTCTCTGCTGCAGCGTTCGGTTACGATGGCGAGAGCCATAGCACATGCTGGCACCAAGATCCTTAGTCCCCTCAGTGATGGCAAAGCCAGCAAGCTGCAGAAGTCTACGATCAGCAGCTTGGGCGGCCCAAGCCAGTGTTTTGGATTGGTCCAAATGCAATGTCATCATCTCTGTCCAGGCTTGAAGCGTGAGGTGCCCTCGAACCAGATGCATTACTTCAGAAGAAACCAGCTCAAGGTTATCGACGTACGAGTATGCTGATATCGTTGGTTCAAAGACTTGAAAGTATCTGTGAAAGCTGAAGAGCGCTACAATCATAGCCAAACAGCTCATTGAGTCTCCCTCTGGGAATCCACTGTCAGACGGGACTTCACGCCCTATCATCCCTTGCACCCGAAAAGAACGACGGGTGTTTCGAAGGAAGTTGTCCCAGGCCACAAGTATAGGCATGGGAAGTCCCATCTTTCGCCCTAAAAGGAAAATCGGTTTGCGAGGCAAATGATTGAAGCATCGAATGATGTCCACCATGACTCCATTGCATGAGAGCCCTTGCAGCAGTGCTATTTCCACCTGAACCATGATGGCATAAGTCAAGTCAACGCAAGAACGGTGCTTGATGTAGCCGAAGGTGTCGAAGTTGGCAAAAGGTTCAAGCTGTGCCAACAATTCACGAGCTCTACAGCTACCCCAAATTCGATACAGCAAACTGAAGAGGGTTATGGGTCTGTACTGCGTAGCCTCAGTGGCCTGAGCAACCTTAGCTATGCATGTCACATGTCCCCTGCAAAGTTGCTGCGGCCAGTCAGCTCCAGATTCAACTGCAGTGAAGAGGTTCGCCAGATCTAACCTGAACTCATTGGGAAGTGCCAGCAAGTCGTCCCTACTCCAGGCATCTGGTCCACGGGTTTTGAGTCCACTTCCCTTCTTGAGAGTGGAAACAATGTGTTCAGCAGTGAATCTCTCAAACCGCAAAGGCAAAGTAGCAGTGTAGTCCCTGGCAAATGCAAAAATGCGGTTCCATGCACCATCAGGAAGAGAGGCCATGACATTCCATCTCCCAGCCCAAAGATCAGCGAGCTCATTTTGCACCTTTTGAGGGGTGTCCAACACCACGTGCTGTTCAACAGTTTGACCAGGCACAATGAGGCGGTCCGAGTGAATTGTGACCCAGCCTTGTTGGGCTGGGAAATCAACTTGCTTACTCTGTTCCACTTCAATCTGCTCGTCATCAAGCCAGAAAGTGCCCTGCATGGCAGACAAAGGAGGATCAAGTTTGACAACATTTGCCGCTGCGTGAATCTGGTCGACATCGTAGGTAGTCTTGTGCAGCAGTGTGTCCAGTGGTTCATGTGGGTCTGGTCTCATTTCCCTGAAAAGTGCCTTAGCAGAGCTTTCTCGCCTTAATTTGAGCAAAGCAGATCTCTTGTCAATGTGCCACTGCTCAAAACTTCTGAAGTTCATGCGAAAGTCCTGGAAGATGGCTTCAGCTTCTACCAGCGATGGTTGGAATTGTGGCAAAAGCAGTGGAGATGTTTGAAGTTGGATGTGTCTTCGCATCCACCAACTGTGAAAATTCGGTTTGAAGCCAACCGCTTTGGTAATCGAGGCCCATAGCTGCACCCTGTATACTGTAGCACCAGCAGTGCTGCTTCCCGCACGCAATGACTGCACAAGTGCCTGAAGACGTCTGAGTTGACGATACCAACGGTGCACCGCAAGGCCAACAAAGGAGGAAGAGAGCCCTTCTTCTCCTGGACGCGCTGGCTTGGAACGTGGTGTCATCTGGGTAACCTTAAGAGGAACATTGTGCACACCACGACCTCCCGCACCATAAGGAAAACTCCCAAGTTGCTTGTCAAAGAAACCATGCAAGGAAGTTTCAACCTTAGAGCTCCAAGCAGAAAAGGCAGAAGTAGTGTCGCCAGACCAGGAATGAGCATGATGCACCTCAGCAACAGCGTCGTGCCACTCACCAATCCTGCAGTTTACCCACGGGATAGTGACCGGCATGGGCCAGTAGTACAACGGTTCCAAACTCCGAGCAAGGTCAAAGTGCCCCACCACAACGGAGTGATCCGGGAACAAATCGTGCCACACTTCCACTTGCTGCAGTCGTTGCAAGAGCTCTGGACTAGCCCAGAAGAAGTCACGCTGAGTTGAAGCCTTACATGTGGGCTGGAAAGGCTGCTGCCAACGGTCATAGGCAACTTGTTGAAGCTCTCGCCAACCTCTACGATACCACTCATGAAATTGCGGAAGC